ATGTACATACATTATATACTAATTTGAGGGTATACTTACTTGCTTTTAATAATTTTTGAATTAGAGTATAATAAATCTCCAATTGCTCGTTACAACGTTACGATATGACATGTTATATATAGATACAGTTGAAGATAGGTATTATATCAGAAAACTTCGAGCATATTTACTACAATTCACCAGATTTTCATCACATTCAGATGTATAGTTTAGATATTAATAAGTTACAAATGCATCAAACAAACATACATTTAGATTATACATAAAAAGAACTATGTTTTAACAGGAAAATAAATAAAAGTTTAAAATTGATACTGGGTAACACAGAAGTTAGCACCAATAAGAATTCTAATGTGAGACGATGTTTAGAACATTTTCCACAACATCGATACCTATCAGCCGCTAACAAGCAAGCCTTTGTTGTGCTAGATTAGTTCACCGTCTTACACTGCTTGCTCTTGTAAATAGATCTACTGAATGAATAATATCGTATATTATATAATGTCGGTGTAGTTATTCAACGAATCTATATGTTCTCTTTTCTCTATACTCTAAAGCATTTTTTAAGAAAGGCATTAAAACTAATAACACTTCGAAGACTAGCAAAAATTTAAATTGAAAAATTAAATTGTTGAAACTGAAAATATTACTAATATCATGAATCTGTCTGTCTGTTATATAACAGATATTATTTAATTTTTTAATTTAAGTATTTGTCTTAATCTCAATAAGTTTAAGCGTGAAAATATTTTCATTCCTTATATCCAGATTATCCTTATGTCCCTGAGCAAAATCGCGAGAAAAAAGTTGTTTGAAAATAGGCTTTTATTTCTTTGTTGCTGCCGGTTGACGACTCCTGACGCATTATCATATTACGCAATTGTAACGGAAACGCACGTAGCCTGTAGGTTAGAGAGGGTTAGGCTACGGACCGGTCCATTATGTAATTATGTTTGGGAAAATCGAATATACTCAGGTATCCATTGATCGTTGACGATAGAAGCCTAAGCACGGGCGAATCTCTTGTAATAATATACCTACATATTAGGTAATAGGCTACGCGATTCCATAAAAAAAAGAAATAAGTATAATCTAAACGAAGTACTCAAAAATATTGTAGACTCTTAAGCGATTATCATTTCTGGTTTTCATTAGAGCAAGTGTACCATTTACATAAATATGTAATCCTATTTAAATAAAAAAACGAGGTCTATTTTCAATTTTTTGAGTAAAACATATTAAATTGAATTCGAACGTTGGTATAAAATAGAAATTCTGACAAAACAGGTAAATTGTCTGAGTCAAAACTTACTTTGCACTATCATGAATCGTTTATCATCTTTTTAATCTCCACCAAAGCCAATAAAACAATGAAATTTATTCCTTAGTTCTTTGAGCGCTTCGCACCCGCCCGGGGACGTCTAAGACTCGGGTGAAAATGCTCTCTCAAAATTGAAATCACTAGCAGCCAGCTACGTGACTGTAAAACCGATCGCAATACAAGTAAAGCTTAAAATAATATTTACCTTGGCTTACCCACCGCTTGATTCCCTTCAGATTTGCTTTCGATTTGCAAATGGCGAAACATTTTCAGGAAAATTAGGTATTTTATAACTATATTTTGTTAACTGAATACTTTTATGCTTCATAAATACTTTTGTGTTCAATAATCATTTTATTATTTCATAATTTCTCAGAAATGATATAAACTCCCGCAGTAAAAAGTATCCTATATGTTGACCCGGATAACCAGTTATCATCATACCAAATTTCATGAAAATCCCTCCAGTGGTTTTTCTGTGATGCGGTAACAGACAGACAGACAAACATTCTAAAAACTATAGATTCGGCCTCTATACCGATAATAATGTCTATTTCAATAAGATTTCCCAAAGAATATTTAATGTACAGATTCGGCTTAGTTACAATTTTACTAAATGTATAGATGTTTTGTTTATATGAGTGAGTGTATCGAATATTAATATTGCGATTAATTATCATAGATCATTTACATATTACCATCATACTTAGATATAAATTATGAAATTTTAGATAGTAAACGAGGCTTTAAACACACTACGCCACTTATGTGTTTGTAGAAATAGAATTGAAATACGGGGGTGAGTTCTTCAAATAAAAATAGTTTTTGTTACAGCTACAACAGTTTAGAATTATACAAATTATATTTAGTTTTCCCAACATGTATTTAAGTAAAAGCATTTCTATGTAACTGGTAAATTTAGTCATGACAAAGTTGTAGTGGTTTCCTAGTTTATATTTTTCTGTACCATCTAGAATAAATATAAATAAATATATGTTGGGACATTAACACACAGCACAATCTAGTTCCATGGTAAGGTATGTGACCTATATAATTTTAAATACCTACATATTATAAATATAAACATACAAGCATTCGTGCTCATCACAAAAATGAATGCCCCCAGCGGGACTCGAACCCGCGTCCGCTGGAACCAGCAAAGAGGGTCACTACAAACTGAGCCACACGTGTCGTACTTTCTAAAAGTACGGCCTCGAGCTAAATACTAAAGAACATGCATTAAACAATAAGTCCTTCAACCCCTCATGTCCCCATTGTCCCCTTAACATTTTCTTTACTTTTCTACTAACAATGAGATACAATTTACATACTTTTCCGCTTTCATGTAACTAGTAACTTTTATTATGGAGCTTCTTTTAATTTACCTACTAAGGCTTAAACTTATTAAATGTAATCGTACTTACTATTTGCTACTTTTTGCTTCATATCTCATATCTATTTATTTTATTTACAATTTTTTCAAAAGAACACTTTAGCAATGGATATTTTTTTTAAGTATTAACATACTTATTATATATACTCAACTAGCATTGCCCCCAGCTCCGCCTGCGTTTAGATGACCAAAAACCAAATTCTTAGGTTTTACAGATTAGTATACTCTTACATTACAGTTTTTGTATTTTTCTCAGAAATGACATATTTTCCCGCGGTAAAAAGTATCCTATATGTCGACCCGGATAACCAGCTATCATTATACCAAATTTCGTCAAAATCCCTCAAGTGGTTTTTCTGTGATGCGGTAACAGACAGACAGAGAGATAAAAATTCTAAAAACTATAGATTCGGCCTCTGTATCGATAATAATGTTTATTTCTATAAGATTTTCCAAAAACTATCTAATGTACAAATCAGGCTTAGTCACAATTTTATTATAATTGTAGTAATATAGTTTAGAAGCACCCACCTATATGACTACGGCGAATGAATTCATTTGGTAAAGTCAATCTCCGCTTAAAATAATTTCGAGAGAGTTCTAAGCAAACACTTTGCAGACACCTCTATCTTAGAGTATCCAATGTACTCCAACACTTGCTATATATTTCTATATTCGCTTATTAAAATTCTAATGGGCTTGTTTCGAAGACAGTTTCAAAACGCTTTAAAGCTTTAACACCTCCATAACTCAAAGTGTCATTTCAAGGATCCTCCTATTGTATATGAATACGTGCATTTTGCATGTTAAGCACGATATACCTACATTTATATTTGCATACGATATGAGTTCATATAGTTGTTCATATGTAATATAGTATAAGAGCAATAATGTTTCTTAATTAATTAATAATTAAGTATATAAATGAGCATTAAGTACAATTTAGGGGTAAAACTTTTAACTAGGAGTAAAATATGAATATGTATAAATGTTACATCTAAACATAATAAAATTATACCTTTTTTTTTTTTAACGTTGGGAAATGCATTTACGCACGACGTGTGGGACTCACCGGCGTAATACAGCCAGTACTACCCACTAAAACCCAACAAAACCTTCCCCCGTCTTATTGGAGCGTCGCAGGATCGCTTACGCATTCAAATACGACGCCCCTACGGCAGATCTGCCGAAGCAGACCACCACAACCATGGGGTTGCTCCACAGTCCACTCTGCTATCACAGAAGTACCAGGAGCAACCCGCATGGTACACCGCCCCCCGAAGAGGGCCACCTCCCACCGCCCACCGAAGTGGGCAACCTCTCTGTGCGTTTCTTAGCTTCGCGCCCGGTTGGATTGCCGGGCACTACTGAGCCCCCCCACCACGACAAGGTGAACGCACGTTGGGGGGGAATAAAATTATACCTGAGCCGATTTTTATCAATACAGAGTTCGACTCTATAGTTTTTAGAATGTTTGTCTGTCTGTCTATGTGTCTCGGAACGCATCACGAGAAAACCAGTGGATAGATTTTGATGAAATTTGGTATGAAAATATCTCATCTCTGAGAAATCTATACTAACCGTTAAATCGTTCCCAGGGACTCCAAGCGGAGCGAGGGTGAGTCGCTAGTGTTAAATATATATCTTAAAATGATACATGTTTTAGGTGACATTTTAATGGAGCTTAAACAATGGGTACCTAGTATTCTTTATTTGATTTATTCTTTATAAGCAGTTAAGGTTAATAAAAGAGTATAAATACGTGTAATATCTACAATGTAGGTTAATATCAATACCACCAATTTTATAGTGTGTGATAATCAAAAATTTATTATAAGATCTTATTTCTGTTAACCCATTTAAGCCCGCTGGCCCTGATTGGGGCCATTTCATTAGATACCCTCAACTTTTCACTTTTTTTATTAACTGTTGGTTTTGATGTAAATGTGTTCTGTCATTGAGTGTATCCTCATGATAAATCACATAATATTCGAAAATATTTTTTAAACTGGCTGTAATTGATGGTTTTATTTACTACATTGTGTAAAAAGATAATTGACTAAAGGTAAGTCATAAATAATTGTGTTTACAATAAAAAATCTCGCATATTTTGATATTGTTCACTCGGCTATAGTTTTTCCTATTAATTGTTAAGATTTTATTAGGTATTTATCGAAAATTGACCATAATAGCTTTATTTTAGCGTAGTGTTCCCAAACAGGGCCAATGGGCTGATATGATGTTATTTATCGTTTATTTGTGACAGGTTTAGTTTCGGCGTAAATAATGACGAAACGATCGTTTGACGGCTCAATTGACTTTCGAGGGCTCGAAGAAGCCATTGAGTATATATTGAATGAGGAAGGGGATCCCGACGTCATCTATGACCTAGTGGCTATTCCCCTAGACCCAGTATTATCACAGATAAAGAAGAAGGGGGTGAAGATGATGTCTTACAAAATGCAATTCCGCGAGATAGAGAGACCAGGAAGAGTTAGATGTGTGAAGTGAGATATTTGGAAATAGAAATGTCGTTGAATGGGAATGCACGAATACGAACCTTAGAAATACGTAGAATAGTAGAGCAGAATCCAACTTGGCGTAAATGTGACGATTCGTACATTGACAAGCCCTAAGCAGTGAGTAATGTGCGAAACCTAAAGGAAGCCCTTATAAACGAACTAAAAGGCCAAAATCCTAGCATCATTTCTGAAAAAGAAATGGTGTCGAGATCATGGACATGAATCTTCTGAATACACAGTTGTTTGCCGTACAAGATAACAATAATGACTTCCAATAAATGTTAGTGACCTCAAAATATTGACCGACAGGAGAGAGATAGATGTAAACATTCCCTTTGTATTTCAAAATTATAACAAAGGCATATTAGGAGTTCATAAGGCAGATCAGTTGGTTGCTGTGCATAGAACTGCCATACGAGGCGAAAAATGCTGGTGGGTTTTGTTTACGTATATATTGTTTGTGGCTGTAGCGAACGTCTGGCGTCTTCACGTTCTGGCCGTGGAAGATAAATGGACCAGCTCCAGTTTCTTCGATCCATAGACCGATATTATTTGAGGATTGAAGGCACTGAAAGACCAACGAATGAACAAATGAAGAATGGACGACGTCGTACACTTCCTTCATCAGTACCAAATATGAGTCAAAATGGTGTTGGATACTTTCATGGAAATTTACCAAGAAAGCTACGATGCGTTATATGCCGTAAGAAAGCACGTTGATAAGGTAAAAAATGTGTTAGAACATTGTGCATCGAAACGAGATGTTTTGAAAATTATCACACATGAGCCCATTGGCCCCAGTTAAGGACGGTGTTTTTTTTCTTAGAAGGAAGATATTTTTTTTCAGTTTTTTTTCGTAAAATTTATCTTTAGCATCCAATTGATAAATAAATAAAAGTGTTTTCAAAATTTTTGTGCTAGTTTGTATTTGGGTCCAAATGGGTTAATGAACACTTCACTAAAAATATTAAAGGGAAAATTTTGCATATTACTTTATTAAAAATTCTTATTGAAAATTCTAAATGGATAGTCACATTCTTAAAATTTTCTACCTACGGGTGATTTCAAGAGCGAAAAATTAATTTTATGATTTTTCATTCACCATCAATTTCGCCATTCACCATCTATTTATAGCAGAATTCTACCAAGGTATCTATTAATCGTTGAGATTTCTGTCCGTCTACTGTCATCTCAAGAGCAGCCATTATCCCATTGGATGTCAATTGGGCCGAGTAAACACTTCACTATCACGCGGGTAGCTCAAATAGCACTTAAGTATCCATATAACTTCCAGATATTGCCAATTTTGAATCCATACTATATTATTAATCAGTAAGGGGGGCTTTTAGTACAGTCTTTCTAATAATATAAATGCTTCAGTGTAAGTTGTTTTGTCTTTAATTTTTATCCTTTATTAAACATAGTAAGATGAAATTTAAATATATATTTTTTTGTTTTTAATATTTTTATCTATCTTTATCTATAACTGCACGTACTGTAACAATCACATTTTTTACTTTTTGTTAGGTTTGTTTTTATGTTTATATTCATTTGAATACTGTGTACAGATATTATTGGACAGCAAATTTATAATGATATTTTAGTTTTTAATACGTAGTTGTAATATTCTAACTAGTTTTCTGTTTCTGTATCTAAATAAATAAAATAAAGATTTTTTTTAAATTAAGTTTAATTTTCAATCAAATTTAAAGCTATGTTTCTTCAACTTTGATATATGTATATACTTAAATTTTTGGTTGAATAAATCTGTTGTCATACTTCTGATGTTCCAGATAAGTATTTATACTTATATTCAACTAACTCGGTGCGTGAGTTACTTTCTTCAATACAACGATATCTCGATATCCGAAAAGCATCATTTGACCAGTCTCCGGCTCATAAACTATTTCTATATAAAAATCATGGCGATCCGTTAACCCACTGCATGAAAGAAGATTATCTAAGAACACATTTTTACATTTACAATGAAAAAAAATGTAGTAAAAAATGTATATAAATACTAGAATAGATAGACTATATACTGTTATATACATATATTATTTTTTTCTAACTTAAACTTGACGTATTGTTGTAGATGGTACGTCCACCAATTTTGAAAGTAATCCGAAGTAGTGATTCTCATACAAAATAACCAGATCTGAACCTTTCGATTTTCGAACTGTTCTTATGGGTTTTTTCTATTATTTTTTCATATTTAAACCATCCCTGATATACCTCTGCAACAAAACAAAAAAAGAATTATTCAAATCGGTTCAGCCGTTTTTGAGCTTTAGCGAGACTAACAAACAGCAATTGATTTATTAATAGTATATATATATATATGTTGTAAGTATATTATTGTGTCTGTATGCATTTCTAATATAGATAGCCTTTATGGGTGGAATTATTGCGTGGATGATTTACCGAAACTTAAATTTTGATGTTAAATTCATGATAATTATATTCAATTTTCTCTCTTTGGCTTAAAAAGCTATTAGTTAAACTTCCACGTCTGACAGGGTAATAAAAGTAATCGTAATTTACACGTTTACGAATACGAGACGTAAAATGCTACCTCTAATGAGGAATAAAACCACGATTTAAAAGAGAAATGAATTTAGTTACTACTTGCAAGAGATAAAAATAAATTCGCCTAAGAAAATTATTTTACAGAATAAAATATATCGGCCCAACGTATGATATTCTCTTTTTTTCAAGTTGGTTAAAAAAGATTTAGATTCAAATTATAGACTATTAAAGAAATAACTATATACATAAAGGCTATAAACATTGGACAAAAGATATATCAATCGCTATTTATTGGACAACAGCAGACGCACATTGTATTTTTTTAAGCGAAATTCGTCTGTATTTCCGAAATAACTGCTTTCCGATCATATCCTTTCGATGGAAACCTCAATATAATTTAGATGAAAATTTGTTATATATTTTCCGAGTTGGTCATACACATGTGTATTAAAACAAAGTTTTCATCTGTAAAATAATAATATAATAATAATATTATAATAATAATTAATAATGTATATAATAAAATTCTGAGTCGAATCTGTACATTAAATATTTTTTTGGAAAATCTTATTGAAATAGTCATTATTATCGATACAAAGGCTGAATGTATAGTTTTTAGACTTTTTGTCTGTCTGTCTGTGACCGCATCACGGAAAAGCCACTGGGTAGGTTTTGATGAAATTTTAGCTGGTTATTCGAGTCAACATATAGAATACTTTTTACTGCATTAACACCTTTTTCTTTTAACGTTGGGAACTGCATTTACGCACGAGGTGTGGGACTCACCGGCAAAGCCAGTACTACCCACTAAAACTCAACAAAACCTTCCCCCGTGTTAATGGGGCGTCGCAGGATCGCTTACGCATTCAACTACGACACCCCGACGGCAGGTCTGCCGAAGCAGACCACAACAACCATGGGGTTGCTCCAAGGTCCACTCTGCTATCAGAGAAGTACCAGGAGCAACCCGCATGGTACACCGCCCTCCGAAGAGGGCCACCTCCCACCGCCCACCGAAGTGGGCCACCTCCCTGTGCGTTTCTTGGCTTCGCGCCCGGCTGTATTGTCGGGCACTACTGAGCCCCTCCACCACGACAAGGTGAACGCACGTTGGGAGGGAAATGCATTAACACCTAAAATAATGATGAATAACTCGACTAGTGACTACCCTGATATTCGAGGTAATTTAAACTTGTAAAAAAGATAGTTTCTTATAAGTATTTATATGTATATACTTATTTATTAATTACAAGCAGAACCCGTGGCTTCGTCGCGCTAAAATAACAAAAAAATCTCTAAAAAGATAGTTTCATACAAACTCTCATTCCCCTATAGGATCAATTTCAAAAAATATTAAAACACGTATTTATTTAACTTTATTGAAGAGCATTAATACCAAGTTTCAAGTAATTCTGATCATAAATATTTTTTTGTATTGTATTATAGAGCAATTTTAAAATTAGCGCCGCTGACAGAGAATTTGGGTCATCGGAAGGTCAGAGGTAGGTATATCATGACGAGGGAAGAAAGTGATAAAAGCAAAAGAGTATGATGTATGAGTGGACTATGTGAAAGAGGATATGTTTGTGAAATGTGTGTATGTAATGTATGTATGTAATGTAAATAAATAGAACGAAACATATTGTGCCGACCTCGCGTGCGAGATAGTGGACCTCACGTGGCCAGCGTGATCGACTATGGCCTTATCCCCGTCATATTGAAGGGAGGCCCGTTGCTCAGCAGTGAGACATTAAAAAAGGCTGAATTCATACGATAAAACCGGTACATTTATTCAGCACTAGCATTGCCCGCGGCTCCGCCCGCGTTCAGATGACCAAAAACCAAAGTCTTAGATTTTACATGTTAATATACTCTTACAATGTAGTTTTTGTATTTTTTCTAAGAAATGAGATATTTTCTCGCGGTAAAAAGTATCCTATATGTTGACCCAGATAACCAGTTATCATCATACTAAATTTCATCAAAATCTGTCCAGTGGTTTTCTCGTGATGCGGTAACAGACAGACAGACAGATAGACAGACAGACAAAAATTCTAAAAACTATAGATTCGGGCTCTGTATCGATAATAATGTTTATCTCAATAAGATTTTCCAAAAAATATTTAATGTACAGATTCGACTTAGTAACAATTTTATTATATGTATAGATTTAAATAGCGTCAAATGAGTGTACTCTTCTTCAAACTTCATTAATTTCTACCGCGACTGAAATAGAGTGACTTGACAAAGCAGTAATTAATTCCATGGAAAGCTGCGGATCAATCGACATAATGGCCGTAACTTGCATTCTACTCTTTATAGTAACGATCGATATCTGTCGTTTTATTTCATTCGTAAATAATTCGACACAAAGGGGGTGCTTTGTGTAGTTTTATAAAAGTACTTTTTTTTATAACACCATATTACATAATATTATGACTTATAGCATCTTGCGTA